TCTCTCTCTCTCTCTCTCTCTCTGTGGGTGGTTGGCGGATGCTCTGGTATGATTTGCTTCTTCTTTCCTATGAAAAATCTATCGTCCTTATCTCCCCTTCTTTTGTTATGTTTGTTACTCTTTTGTAACACCTCTAATCTTCTGGCGCTCATATATATGACCTTATGCAGTTGCGAGCGCCGTAAAACCTCTACTAAAAAAAACTAATATCTCTTTCCTCTCTCCTCCCTCCTCCTTCCCGCTCTCTCTCTCTTTCTCTCTCTCTCTCTCTCTCTCTCTCTCTCTCTCTCTCTCTCTCTCTCTCTCTCTCTCTCTGTCACTCTCACTCTTAGGCTTTCCGCTCGTTGACGAGACCTTTATATAGCGTGAAGCACTGTCTGTGTTCTCGGCCTTACAACTTGCATGCAGAAGACTTTAAGTTTGATTCCCTCGTGGACACGGCAATGTATCCAGCATCGGCATCTCGCGCTGTCTTTCTGCTGGATCGTTTGTATCACACTCAACCCACTTTGGCCCTGACAGTGATAGGCTCTAGTCACCCTTCCTTCTTAGTAATCTAAATTGTGTCAGTTGAAGTTGAAGTTTTAGATCGATTATTCGATTATCCAGATCTTCAAAATGAACCAAGCGGGTGCACGTTGGAAGGCGCCGCGGATAGGTCCTATATATTATACCTCTTTACTCTCCCTCTGTTGTTTCTGTCTCTCTGTCTTACTTTTTCTCTGCACTAATTAATGACCACAATTTTATGGATGTATTTTTCTTTACTAAACAAATAAAGAATGAACCAAGTGGCGGGAGCTCAAATCTTTCAAAGAACTCATTATCTCACAGTTCTGTGGCCAGTGAAGACCATGGACTGATATTCTGATATTCTAGACGGCACTTTGGCCTAATTCTGGTCCACCATGGAGCGCACCAAAAAAATTATTTGACTTTGGGGGAGTGCAAGAGGAAAAGATGCGTACGCACTCGGCTAGGCTATAACTATAACAAAGATCGTACATAACAAGATAGTTCCTCTCTCCTCTTTTGCCCTTTTTAACTCCCAGTGGAGCATAGGCCATCAACATTAATTTTCTCCATCGAATCCTGTCCAGTGCATTCTTTTCTAGCTGTTTCCATGATGTCCCCGCCTTTCCATTTCCGCTTGTACCGATCGCCTCCGTGTCATCTTTGGTCTTCCTTTCTTACGTTCTCCTAGTGGATTCCACGTCAAAGCCTGTCTGATATGATGCTTGTCGGGGGTCTCCTCAGGGTGTACCCAATACATTTCCATTGCTTCACCTATATGTCTTCCTTTACCGGCCTTTGGCTTGTTCTTTCCCACAGTTGAGCATTTATGACTCGACCAGATAGTTCACTCAGCCAAAAAAGTGTCCGCTTGGTTCAGATGGCGCTGCAGCTGCAGTCTTTTGTTTTGAAGCTTACTTTCGTTTCTCCAGAAGAAGAATAGGAATGGCACAGTTTGTCATTTTCACTTTTATTGTTTTTAACACGAGTAACGCTGTTCGCAAAGTCCGAAGAGGACTCCACAGAATTTTGTTGACACTTTTCCAACTGACTCCAAGAGAGGATTGAATTATCTATTTATGATCTTTGGCTATAGCGAGACTGGTGTTTTACCCTTCATTTATTATGCGTTAATGCAACGTACAATGAAGCGCAGCGACGTGTTCATAGGGAGCAGAATGCAGAGGCCATGACTATACCAGGTCTGGGAAAAAATGTTCAAGTCTATGGTAGGCGTAAAGACAGAATGACAGACTCATATTATTTTACCCATATTGGCCTTACTAAAGGCTTCAATCGAAAACAAGGCGTGCAGAGTGGTTATAAGGTTAGACTAACAAACTTTTCTTCTTTTATCTTTTATTAGTTTGTTTTCTTTCCCAAACAGGGAGGGGTGGCTTTGTTCGTTGTATTTTTGTTTTTGTTTTTCATTTTAGTTTGTTTTGTTCTTGTTTTCCTTTTAATGGCACTTTTTTTCCCTTTTAGTGAAGGGTGGGGGGTACCGAAGAAAAAAATTAAGATGGTGGAGCTTTCCGAAAACAGGAATAGAATATATTATTATATGCAAATTGATTCTGTGGGCAGCCGAGGAAATTGAGGCTGAATCCTACATCAATGCTACGGATTGATTCCGTGAGCTGGCGTTGCGGGGTGCCAGCAAGTGCGAAGGAAATAACTGCCAGGGGAAATAATTCGCCCGAAAAGGGGGAGTAATGGAATTTCCCTGATAAGGGAGACAATCAACTCCGCAATATTCTCTCCTTCTGCCTCTCGACGGTCGCTTGGCACGAAGTGGTTTGCTGGAAAAGTTGGATTTCCGGGAGCAGGGTAAACTGAAAAGAAAAAAGAAAAAATTGGACGCCTGAGAGAGATTCGTGGAGACGCAAGGAAAGTGGATGGACACGGCTTTGGTGGGTGAGTGGAATAGCTTAATGTTAGTGTCTGGTGTTTTTTTTTATTTAAAGAGAGAGACAGACAACGTGTGTGTGAGTATGTGAGGTGTGTGTGGAGAGTGAATGTGTGTGTGTTTGTGTGTGTGAGTGGTTGAGTGAGTGAGTGAGTGTGTGTGTATGTGTGTGTGTGTGTGTGTGTGTGTGTGTGTGTGTGTGTGTGTGTG